TGAACCCAGAGCTGATCCCAAATGACCCCAATGGCATGATGGGCTGGGCTCCCCCACACCAGCCAGGCACACAAGAGGCTCAAAGTCTCCGTCCCAGGTGCATTACCCACATCAGCTTAGCACTTACCCCCTGACCCTGCAGTACCCCTCACTTTGTGTCATAGCCTCCCCCAGGGGACCAGGGAGAACTGGCCAGTGCAAGACAGGCCACCAGAGCAGGACTCTAGGTCCAACACAGAGGCTGGCTTCAGTCTCTGCCAGTCCCTGGTGCACTAGCCAGAAGGCACCAAATTTCTGCCAGCTCCTGGTGCCCTCCCAAACCATGCTTCCACCCACACTGCCCAATGTCACTGTCAGCCCCCAGTGTAGATGCAGGAGCTCCCTCTCCCTAAGCTTTGGAACAAGCTCTTGTATGTGACCAATGGGGACCAATGGGAAATGGCCTCTACTGCTGGTCTTGGTCTCATGAGTAGCAGGGACAAGGCCTAAGCAAGAAGCACCACAGCTTGTGGTTTCAGGGTCAGCACCAGCCCTGGAATCTGGTCTAACAGAACCAAGATAAGGCAGCCAGACTCCCCTGAGCAGGACCACTCTGCTGGTGCTCCACCAAGCCACCCACCAGCGCAGATCATGGGACCACATGCAGGTCTTTCTTCCCACCCTCAGACTGCAGCAAAGCCCCAACCTACCCCACCATAACCCAAATGCTAAGCCCAATGCAGCCTTTACCTGAAACAGTTCAGCTCCCACCCCAAGTCTAGCCCTTTCACTAGCCCCCTAGCCTTCACCCCTAGCCTTCACCCCAACTGACTTAACCCTCCTCTAACCCATACCTGATCCTAACCCTAACACCAGCCCAGACCATTAACTTGGAAGGGTTCTACTTGGCCCCCTCCCCCTTTAAAGATCCAGGGACGTACTGTGGCACTTCCACTTGGCAAGACTTCAGGTTGGATCCGGTATGGCATCGCGGAGACATTGTACCAAGCCTGGGACTGGATGATGAACTGGTCATGGGGACGCTGTGTTGAGAGAAGCCTATGAGGGCAGCCTGAGAGGCCAGTCGGACACTGGCAGGAGCATAGTGCCAAAGATGCACCACAGCCTGTGCTACCTCAGCTGTGTATGTGAGGTAGTGACTGTCCCCCATTCTCACTGCTGGTCCTAGGAAGTCCCAGCAGGGCCAGGTCCTGTAGCCCACCCCCCAAAAATCCCCTCTGTTCTGGTGTTGGAACACAAGCTCTGAGGTGGTGGGTTGTGGCCCCTGGCTGTAGAGAACAATTCCTGCCGTTCCATGCACACACTTGGCAGGAGGCTGGGTAGGATGTCTCCTGATACAGGGAGATTTACTCCCTTGGCACAGCAGCCCCAAATGGCCTGCCTTGCTGGGGGGAGACCACAACCTGGGTTCCCAGGCCTGTGACTGATTTGATGTGGATGCTCAGCATCTCTGAAAAGTGGGCCATTCCTCGTGCCTCCATTAACCCAGAGGTCAGCCTGTGCCCCTGCCAAGTCAGTGTCATGAATGTACATGTCCATCACGGCAGCACACACTGAGAATGCTGCCCTGGGTGCTTTTCCTAGGTGGGTAGGCAGGGCCCTTCCCAGCACAAGGCATTGGACCCCTGCAAGAGAGCCACTGGTGTCCCAGCTCATGGATGACAGCAGGTCCTGTTCCCACATCCCTCACTTTGGGGCAACTCCAGTGTGATCCAGGAGATCCCTCTAGATTTACAGCACCATGACCATGGATGGAATCTGGTCCCTGGGGAACCTGCTCTCTCCTGGGGCGGAAGAGGGGCAGGAGGAACCTCAATCATGCAAGGAGGGCTGTACAACAAAGGCAGGCTGCTAGGGGCCCTGCTGCCCTTAGGAGGGACAAAGAGGAGGGCATAGGACCCTGCTTCCATGAGGGCTCTGTGCTGGGGCCAATCTACCTTCATGAAACTCTTCATCCACAGGATGGCATGCACAGTCACCATGGCTCTCTGGTCCTTCTCCAAGCTCTCCACATAGCAAGTGATAGTCACACAGGGCTGGCTGCTACAGTTCTGCAGAGATGGAGTTAATCACCACTTTGCTCTAGTCTAGTCCAGTACAACTCAGCTGCTCCCCATCTCCTGCCAGCAGCATGGCTGGACCCAGAACATAGGGGCGGGGGAGTGAGTTCATCCCCTCTGGATGCTCAACTCTGGAATGGGTAGAAGGAGAGTGTAATGGGTAGCCCTGCTCCAGGGGCTGGAGCTGAGGTTCAGGGAGGCTAGGAGGACCTGGAGGTGCACAAACACAGAACCTTACCTGGATGTACCTTCTGCCTAGGTCAGGACTCCCCTGCCAGCAGCTTCCTGTTCCTCCCATTCTCCCTGGCTGTCTCTGGGTAGCCCCACAGCACAGCTGGTGTCAGTAGGACCAGTTTTCTCAGTGCAGTGTGCTCAGAGTAGCCCTCACTTACCAGCAGGAGGGGCTCCTGGAGAGTGGGTGGGCCTTCCTCATCTGCTTCCCGTCTCTCTCGCCTGTGGGCTGGCTGGCGGCTCTCATTGTTGCTGGGGGAGACCGTGGGTTTCTGGATGTCCAGCTGGAATAAGAGGGATGCAACATAGGCTTCTTATCCTTGCACCCAGCAGTTGTGTGTGTGTGGGTGGGGTGGGGGAAATCATTATTCCAAGACTTTGCACACCCCCACCCTTTGACAAGGGACCCTGGGACAGAGCTATTGACATGAGTGCATGGACAGTGACAGATCTTGTTCTCACTCTCTGGGGTGACTCCAGTGTGGTCCAGGATTCCCCCTCTGGATTTACAGCACTGATTATGGCCAGAATCTGGTCCCTTGGGTTGCCCTGTTCCAGCCTGCACCCTGCCCAGCATCTCTGCAGGCCTGGGATAGACCCAGGAGCATGACAGTGGGCTCTGTCCTAGCTGTCTTGTAGGACAAGAGCTCAGTAGAGCCCCAAGCTGGTGGCTCAGGCACTAACTTGGGTTGTGCCATGGTCAGGAGAGGGGGAGCAAGACTGGCTGTGCCTGTGAATACTTGTTACCACAAACAGTCTGAGCCAGCCAATCCTGCTCCAAAGGCTGAGAGGGGAGGTTTCCTTTGCTGCTCCCACCATCCCCTCACCCTGGGGCTGCCCATGTCCCCGGGTCACTGTGGAACCAAGTGCCAGTCACAGAGCTCAGCACTTGTGCAGCTGAAGCCCAGATCTGCAGAGAGATAGAGGGCCCTGCAAGAGCCAGAGCTAGGGCCCTGTGACCAGAGAGCTGCAGGCACCCTTCCTGCAACCTCAGGGAGCTGTGGTCTCCCCTCCCTTCCCCTGCCCCAGAAGCAGTGGCCTCCTCATGCACATCTCCGCTCTTACCCCAAGAGGGTTGATGTTTGCGGGGTCAGAGCAGTTGATCTTCCCCTCAGTGCTGTGACTCGCGAGGTACAGAAAGAAGTCACTTTGGAACTGGCTGAGGAAGTCCACCTGAAGGGCCACTCCGCTCACTGTCCCAGGGCCCTTGTTATGCAGCTTGGGGGAGGAAAGGAAAGGTGTAAAGCAGGGGGCAGCAGGCCAACCATGTAGGGAGGGCAAGGGATGGAGCTGGGAGCCTGCTGTGTGCTGCACTGTGGACCAGGGGCCTGGCACTTGGTGATGCGGGCAAGAAGCCGAGTCATGACTCTCCTAGCCAGTCTGGCTGCATAACTCCCAAGGGATGGGCCTTCTGCTGATAGCCTTTGAGGGAGGCAGCAGAGTAGACAGGGGTTTTACTGCTTCGCATCCAAGTGGATCAGAGGTCAATGCCAGTGCCACATCTGCAAAGGAACACCAAGGTCCTTGCCCGCCCTGTGCAGACAGTGCTGGAGCACAGCATGGAGAAGTGGGCATGGGTGCAGGAGCATGTGTCCCCACAGCAGACAGGTGTGGGGGGCCATGACAGCGCATGGCGTGGCACTGGCCACTTGGTGCCTGGCTGCCTTGGGGGCCACACAGCCTGGACTCTGAGCTTGCAGGGCAGAAACACAGCTTGCTGGCAGTTCCCTAATGCTTACACATCCCCGCAGCCCATGCTGCCCTCAAGTCAGCCACATGGGACCCTGGGAGGCCAGTGCAGCCCCTGGCTCCACCTGCTGCTCACCAGGCTGCCCTGCTCACCCAACTCAACCCCCATGTTGGTCTGCAGTTTAGCTGCATGCGGAGGCCCCTGGGGACACCCTGATGCTTGGGGCTGAGCATACCCTGTACCCTCTGGGGAGGGGACCCAGCAGGTCTCCCAGGCCCTTGTATTCCCCATTCTGGCCAGACCCTCACTGGGGACACAGCTTGGTGCCAGATGGAGGTGACAGCATTCCTGCGAAGTGGATGGTGCTGGAGACTAGTCTAGAGCAGTGTTTCTCAACCTGTGGGTCGTGACTCAAAAGTGGGTTGCAAGAATATATGAAAGGGTCATGAACAAACTTTAAAAATGGATCAACAAACTTTAAAAATTAATTCTCCTTTAAAAGGAGAAAAATGTGGGAAACCGTGGCTTTTCCCTTTGCAGACTGGCAGCATCCCAGCCTGCAAGGGGCTGCTTGTATCCCTCCCCCACCCCATACACCCACCAGGGGGCTGAGGCCTGGGGGGCGAGGAGGGAAGGGGGACAGCAGGTTGGGAGTGAGGGGTTCTGGGTCGGGATTGGCCAATGTTCACAAATGGGTCCTGGAACAAAAAAGATTGAGGACCACTGGTCTAAAGGTCTTTGGCTCCACTGTGTCCCTTGCCCCATACACCCATCACTCCACACTGCCAGATCCCTACCTGGTAGACATGCTCCACCTTGGGGCCATAGTCCTCCAGCCGGCGACTGCCCTCTGGTTGTGTCCATCCCTCCAGTGGCACCACCATGGTTGCAGGGAGGGAATTCCTAGGGGACCCAAGGGCAGACAGGCTCATCCCTGTCTTACCAGCATTGGACTGCCCCCACCTCCACTCCCAGTGCCCTCCCTATGGTGGAGCTGTCCTTTCGCTGGCCCCCAGAAGCAAGGCAAGCTGGCATCAGGCCCTGCAGGGGCTGCCACTGCCTCATGACCTGACTGTCATCCACACGCATCCTTTGAAGAGATGCTGCGTGGCTGTGACCCCAGTGCCACCAGGCCCAGAGTAGTACTGTGGCATTACACGGCCAATACTGTTGGGCTGGCCCCGGGTTCTAGGCCAGCCCCAGCATCAGTCTAGGCCACTGAGGAACTCTACCTCACCCTTCACAAGAAGCACCTGTCTCCCCCAGGACTCACTCTACCCATCCCCACCCCCTAGCTCCCCCAGGAGCCCCTCACCCTCTCAGCTCCATCTGGGCAGCCACCTTGATGGGGACCTGAACCACCGTCACATTGCTGTTGGGATTCTGGCTGTTTTTGCTGCAGCACAAGAGGGAGGGGAAAACGCTGGGTCAGTCTCACATGGAGCATTGGCTCAGGGTGAGTGGGGCATGAGCATCACTGGCAGGAAGCAGGGTGGGGACAATGGGTATGGGTGGTGAGAGTGGGGTGCAGGACTCCTGGGTGTCGCAGTCACTTTGTCACCAGCATAGTAACTAGCCATCTCCCAGGGGCGTGCAAGGGTTAATTTGTTCCTATTTGCCTGAGGCCCAGAGCTGGGATTGGATCAGGACTGTGGCAAGGAACTTCTTTAGGTGCTTCTGCAGGTGACTTCAAGTAAGTGGCCAAGGGGTGATAGCAAACCAACCCCTCAGTGCTGGGACACCTGGGGCCTGCTCCCCAGAGGGCAGAGGGAGAAAGGCAATTCATTCTAAGTCCCAAGAAGCCTGAAGGGCTCACAGGCTCTGTCCAGGCTGGCACTGTGCAGCCCAGTGATGGTTGCCCGCCACAGGGGGACATGGTCAGAGACATCACCAGGCCTCTGCGCACACTTGCAGGGAGAGGAGAAGGGTGTTTGCTGCCTCACCTCCTCAACTGCAATAGAAATGTGATGGTGTCACCTGCATCCTCCAGGTTGGCAACACTGACTGCTATGTCCACAGTGACCTGTAGAGAGGTGAGAGCATGTATATACCATGTGCCATGCCCTTGTGACTATAGCCAAGAGCACAGATACCACAGACACAGACACCGTAAGACCACAAGAGAGGCTGAAGAGACAGTGTGCACCCACAGACACTGCTGAACTCCTTTGGACAAGGTCTGCCCCAAAGCAGGAGCAGTGTCAGTGGTGTGAGTACTGGGATGAGATGGGAAAGGGGCCAGCACATGTGCAGAAGCGCAGGGCACCATCACCGAGAACTGCAGTGACCAGTCAGCAGCCCAAGGCTCCTGGAGATTAATCAGAGGGACAGTGGTCATCATCCAGTCCTGTCCTGGCCAAGGGACATGCCACTTGAGGGCTTCAGCAGCCTGCCTCAGGCAAAGGCAGCAAAAGACAGAGAGACACTGGCGGGCATGCAGCAGAGATGCCCCATACCTTGGTGCCAGTCTTCATGGGGTTCCCCAGCTCACAGATCACCATGTGGGTATCATTATTCTTCTTGGGGTTACAGATCAGCTTCTCCATGCCCTGCAGTGGGATGGGTTTGGGGACAAGAAGTTATCACAGGGAGGAGCTGTAGGGGCAGGCTGGAGCAGGGAGAGTGAAGCTTCCCTCTGGACAGATGGGTGTCACAATGTGAGAGGTGCCTGGATGCACAGATATGGGAACCATTCCCCTAGATCCTCCATCCCTGTTCAGGCTGTGCAATGTGTGTGTGGGGCCAAAAGGAGCCTAGCAGCCTACCAGGGAGTACAGACCCCTTACAGCCCAAGCAACAGCTGAAGATCAGGGTTCAAATCCTGATGATGACACAGAGGAGACAGTGCAATGGCAAAGCCTGTCTGGGGCAGGTGACTGAGGCATGGGGAAGGACTGCAAATCCTGCTGCAAAGAAGTGTCAGTGGAAGGAGCTCTGAAGGAGCCCCTTTCTTCCTGTTGTAGGGTCAGGTCAGGGAGGGTGTCTCCTGGATCCTATGGGGAAGCCCTTCTTGCACATGGGAAGATTCTGGCATGGCCAATGCCCTCGAGCCCTGAGAGAGCAGAAGGCCCTGGCAGGCCCCTCTGTACCTGGATGTTGCTGACAGCTCTCTGATAGTGGGCACTGGGTGGGAGCTGCACCTGCAGCTCTGCCTCAAAAGCACCTTCCCCTTCATTGGCCGCATCAGCCTTAATGTGAACCATGGTCTCAGCACCAATGAGCAGGTAATCCAGATCCCTGAAAGAGAGGCAGTTATATGAGCAAACAGAGCCAAGGCCCCATCCTTAGGGAGAAGAAATCTTGGAACTGGCCAACGAGAATCTTTTACAGTGTGTGCTAGCCAATAGAAAGCATATAATGGTGGGTTTTGGCCATAGGAATCATCTATATTTTTGGGCTATCCAATTGGAACTGTACAACAGCAGGAAATGGCCAATGGAAGCTGTCTACAATGTGTGTTAGCCAAAAAAATCATGTGACAATGGGTAATGGCCAATGGGAACCAAGCTGTCTTGATTCCTAGAGCTCCCCAGCTAATCCTGTATTCTGATGCTGACAACAGCTAATGCTGGGGGCTTCGGACAAGGCATAAATAAACCACCTTCAAAGAACTGACTTTAGCAACACGCCCTGAAAGGGAGTCTTCCTGACCCATGAAGGACAGTGGGTTCATCCTAACTTCATCCCCAGCCAGGAGGGTCTGAGCCACAAGTCCCACACAGCCCTGCTGTGGTGCTTACTTGCAGGCCGAGAGCCTCAAGTCAGGAATGCATACGTTGTCTTCACCGCAGTCCAACACGATGCGTGTCTGCAGCCAGGGAAAGACACAAGGCAAAGATGAATTTTAGTAAATGGTGTGTTGCAACAGGACTGGCCTTTCTCTGCTCCAGACCAACCCCAGGCACAGCCAGGAAAGGTTGGAAGTAGGTTGGGAGTCAGAAAAATCAGTACAGTGGTCAGGAGGGAACCTGGTTTGGATAGCAACAGGCTACAGGTTGAGATGCAGGGCACTAGCACAAGGAGAAGGGAGCTCAAAACTGGGAGGGCAGGAGGTCTGTGGGTCTGGATGAAAGGGCACCAGCTGCATTGAAGAGAATCATTCTGGAGCTGAGATGGCAGCCACAGGCCTCTCCTGCAGTGAAAACCAGATTCCAGGGGCAAATCCCATCTCTGTGAAATGGGCTGGGCTGGGGCTGCTCTCTTGGCAGCTTAGCCTGGTCTCTTCCACAGGCTGAGTGCAGTGTTCATGCAGTGCCTCACCCCCATTGCTTGGACAGTTTCACAGCTCCCCAAGCAGATAGGAGAGGCAGGAAGCCAGCCTACCTGTTTCTGAACTAGGGTGTCTCCGTAAAGCACAAGTCCCAAGTCCTCGGTGTCCAATGGGGTGGCCAGGGTCAAATTGATGCTCACGACTATGGGGCTTAGCTTGTCCTTGAAATCAGCCTCATCCTTGGGGGGTGGAGGAGGAGGGATGAGAAATGCTGAAGAGAGTCTCCCTTCCTTGAGTCTCCCTGCCTCACTCTGCTGCCTAGACATTGCCAACCCCAGAGCTGTGGCTAAGAGACAACCTCAGCTTCATTCTCTTCTGAGACATCTCAATCACTTGAAGTCTGTGCCCAGGCATCAAGGCAGCTCCTTCTCCCTATGGACAAAGTCCTCTGAAGCACCACTCCAGCCAAGGGCTTCATTGATTTCCCACATGGATTTGAGGCCACCCTATCTGCACACAACCAGAGGCTGCCAGGGCCATGGGCTTCACCCACCCTCTTCTCCAGTGCCCCAATAGCTTTCCAACAGACCACAGCTGTGGTGCACCCTGCCTCTACCTCCTCCATACCTGCAGATAGGCTGAGAAGCGATGGCAGAAGGGAGGCCCCTCCTTTGACAGCTTCAGGGTCAATGTGGACTCGTGTGGCTGGAACAAGAAGATCCGTTTCCCAGACTTCTGCTTCATCCGATCCAGCTGCAGGCTGGCATTCAGTTCTGGGGGACGTGGAAGCATGGGGTAGTCACAGTTCCCAGTGCTCACAGGCTGCACGCAGCTGGTACACTTTAACTGTGGGACCTGTTTCCTCTCCCAGCCCATCTCCTGTCATGCAGGACATCAAACTGAGAGTAGCTTGACCTGGCTGGGTTAGGTCAAGAAAGCAAGTGCACTGAGGAGTATTGCCTTCACCCTCCAATCACTCCCATGGCCTAGGAGATGAGAGACTAGGCCACCCACAGGAGAACCTCCCTCATTCCAGCACTGGCTGTGAGGGGTCCACTAGAAGGGGAAGCATCATCTCCATGGCCTGCTCAGCCCTCAGCTCTGGTGGGAAGGGAGTCCATGAGGGCCAGATGTCATGGCTTGGGGATCAGCCCATCAGGCCAACACAAGCCCCTGAAAAGCAGCTACGGAGTCACTGGGCAGCCACTGCTGAGCACGGTAGGATTTAAACCAGTGACCCAGTGAGAGAGGACTGGTGAGGTACCCAGGTCTGTCAGCTCCCTCAAGGTCTATCTCCCATCAGAGGCATAACTACATCCTGGAGCAGCTCCATAAAGTGCAGCTAGCAGATACACAGCCCTAGACTCCAGCCTCAGATATAGCAGGCGTACAATACAGCTTCATGCCCACTTGCCCACTGGAACCAGCACGTTACAGATAACCTTGGCCCTTCCCCAGGCTGCAGCTGGTCATTGGTACCTGCCCTAGGGAGCCAGCTCCCCAGGGGCTCATGCACGCGGCCGCCTGCACTCACTGATCTCCTCTGGGATGCTCTTCCCCAACATGCTCACGCATATCTCAATGGAGAAGCTGCAGAAACAACCCCCCACCCCCCAAGCAGGGTTAGGGGTCTGCCAGGCCACTGAGGGGTGGGGACAGCAGCTTGCTGGGTAGACCCAGGCACTTTCATGCTTCTGGGCTCTCAGTCAAGCCATGTCATCCCTGGCCCAGGCCCCTGCCCCAGCCCCTCATCATGGCCTCTGCGGCACCTCCATCCCCAACCCACAACCCCCTTCCTCCTAGCAGCACCACACCCCATGGTTGCCCATCCACAAGAGCACTATGCCCCCCAAAGGCATACTGCACCCCAGTCTGCTCACCAGCTGGCAGGAGTCTTGGAGTTGGGCATGGTGCAGGTCTTCTCCTCAGGGTTCAGCACATCTGGCATGGAGAGCTGGGTCTTGGCCATCACCACAGGCTGAGCCCTGTGGACACCATCACGAACAATCAGACCCAGGCAAAGGCTGGAGGGAAGTCAAGGATCCAGCCCTTCAAAGGCAGCACTGATAGGGAGGGGGCAGCAAAAGCAGCAGCTCCACCCCAGGGCAGACCCATGTGCCTCTGCCAAGATGCATCTGAGCTCAGTTATTCCAGGGCTGGACTCAACCCAATCTAGCCAGGGATGGGGAGGAGCCACACCTGGGCTCAAATCCTGCAGGCCCTGTGCTCTGCAGCAAGGAGAAGCACCAAGGGCTTCCAGCAGTAGTAGGCTGTTATTCTCATGACACTGACACAAGGGGGCTGCTGGGCTGGGGAGACAGGTAAGCATGGCAGGATACTGATGCCACAGGGAGGAAGTGGTGAGAGGGGACTGGAGGCCTGCAGCCTGTGCCAGTCCCTCCCCATGGGATTGGAGGCCCTGGGCTGAGAATGCAGTGAGGGAGCAGCTGGTGCCTGGAGAGAGCCTGTCCTGTGCATTGTGCCACCTGCCCTGCCAGCTCCACAGTGGAGCTTTAAGGGCTTGATCCTCCTGTGGGAAGGCAGCCTCCAGGATACATCCCTAAAGGGCACACAGTGCCCTGGAGTGATGTCCTGGTCTAGCACATGCTCACCCTGAGTACTCACCTGTACACAGCCACCTTGCCAGCACCAAACGCCCCAACCAGCATGTCTGTGGACACAAGCCAAGGGTCACAGTGGGGTCAATTCAGACTCCAGCCATGAGATCTAGGGTGTACTGGCAGCAGCAGCCATGGGCAGAGGCAGGTGCTGTCTAGCTAGGACAGTGTGGTCAACTGTGCCCTAGAAGCCTGTCTGTGCAACTCACAGGGTCAGCGCTAGACAGGGCAGGGGGCAGTGCCAAGCACAGGGACCTTGATGACCTGCAATACTGCTAGGTCTGGGTGCAGGGCTGAGCCCCTATCACCCTCCCACCATCCCACTTGGTTGTGGTCACAGCCAGGCTCCCCTCTGCTCTGAGTTTGTGGTGTCCTGATGTGGGGGGTGTGGGCTGTAATGGTCAGTGCCTCTGGACTGCTGTGATCTCCATACCTGGGTACCCATTGGCATCAATGTCAGTGGCTCCACGCACAGAGAAGCCAAAACTGGCACGCCCAGGGAAGGGGCTGTCTAGGGCTTGGGAGGCAGGTGTCCGAAGCCCCTCGCTGTGCCCATTGTAGATGAACACACGGCCACTTCCACCCTGGCCAGCAAATGGGGCTCCCACTGCCACATCTGGGTAAACAAAGCAGAGGGAGATGTGAGCCCAGCACCGGGGGGAAGGCACAGACTGAGCCACCTGTGCCTCTGCTCACCTGTGTAAGGATCTCACACACATGGGTGCAGTGACTGGGATCATGCTGTGCCCAGGCCATGGGAAGAGTGAAGGTGTCAGCCTAGTGCTTACAGAAGGGGGCTGAGAGTCAGGACTCCTGGGTTCTGCCCCTGTTACCCTGAGTGATACGTTATTCCTCCTTGTCTCAGTTTCCTCATCTATCAAACAGGGATCAGGGGACTCCCAGCTCCTAGGGCATGTGAGCGGATGCAGACTACCCAGGCACAGCCACCTCCCAAGGGTCAACTCCAGGGGGACTCTTTCC